TACTACTACTACTACTACGACGTACTGCTATTGCTAGTGCTGCTGCTACTATGACTCACTATTCCAAACCTACAGCAGTTCGCTCGATACCGGTGGAAAGACAAGGTCCGTTCTCTCAATATCGAATAACAATCATCAAAGATATCTATATTCAAGACATGCTTTACAGTATCGCTCGTATACTTACTTTTTCCACATAAACATGTGCATATATATATATACATACACACAGATATACAGCGGCTCTCAGAACCAAACTCACTCCTTTCCACACTGAGGCTCTTGCGGAGCTCTCCACGCAGCCTGGCGCAGTCAGCTTCCACGGCTGCAGCCTGGCGGTCTCTTATGCATTCCAGAGCCCTGGTAAGACTTTGCGGGTTCTAACGAGTCTATAGGGCTTCGTAGGCTTTTTAGGGTCTTAGGATTTATTGGGTCTTCGGAGCTATGAGAGTTGCGGGACTTCGCATCTCTGGGTTTCTGTGTTTGCATTTTTTTCCTGCACTTACGGGCCGTGTGGATGAGTTTTGAAGGTTTGCAGGGTGAAACTGTGAGATGCAGGGCAGTTCTGTGCAGTTTTAGGTTGGCGCTGCAAACTTTAGGCGTTGGTGCTAGGGGCTGCAAGACTCGGGGAGGTACTGTAGGGTGGTTGAGTGCACTCAGATGACCACTAAGTCACTAAGCACTGCAACGTGGGTTTGGGATGCTTGTGGTGTGACAGTGCGGAGAAGTGGGATCTGGACGGTTTACGAGCTTTGGGTTATGACTTTCCAGAGCTTTCAACTCGTACCGTCCGGTAGAAATATGCTGCTACTCTCCCGTACTGAGCCTTTCGATCGGAGTGTTGTCTGCATGATTGCAAATTACTACTTTGCTACTATGAGACTGTCATACCCTACAGAGCTAGCTGAAAGCAGACATCCCCTGTACTTACCCTCCGCCTCCTGCGCGAGCTGGGGGGAAACGCCTGCTTCGACTTCAACCCATGCAAGAGGTGCCATGTAAACAGAGTCTGAACTTCGACTTCCGCTGCTGATGGGCAACGTCTGATGCAGGGTTTGAGTGGATCCTATGCATAAGCTGTACCACCGACATCCTTGCCTCTTCCACAACACTAGTGCACCGCGAGCCGTTTCTCTGCTTACTTCTCACATCAGGATGGCTGCGCCCTGGGCCTCGGAAGGGACTTTGGGGATTTCGCCAAATCAATGCAAAAAGACCGTAACGTAGGGGCCTTGATAATTAGAATAGGGTTTTCCCACTATATTATAACTATACTTATAATAAGGGACCCCCAACATAGTATTGGTCATGATTTAGGACCCTATATTACACACGGGCATGCAACGCCAACCTGAGGGCACAAACCCTCGCAGGGCAGTCTGCATCAACCCGAGGAGCTATCCTCAACATTGGAGGGAACCCCCCCCCCGAATTGTTGATCTTCGAACCCTCATCCCAGGTCCGTAGACATGTCGTCCTTAGCTTACTATGTTCAGTCCCGAGATGCTGGGTGCCACACATTCCGAGAAGTGCTGCAGCATGGCGACATAATATTGTGGACTGAATACAAACTATTCGAACCCCTTCTAGTTTCTGCAACCTAATCATGAAGACCCCTGCTACACTTCAACAGCGATCCTTAGACCCGATTTCCCTACCTTCCCGACATTGGCAGCTGATCGCCCAACACCACCGTTCACAGTCCAATGAAGTTATTCTACGCTCCAACCGGCTCCCTTAAAGGCAAGCCAGACTAATGTAGGGGCCTTATAATAATTGGAATAAGGTTTTGGGGGTTCCCTATTATAATTATAGTATAATATACCCCCAAACCGTATTCTAATTATTCGCAGCAAGCATCAGTTCGCAGACGCCAGAACTCCCTGCGTCAACCTCTGGACTCCGCACATCGTTAAAGCCGCACATCGTGAATGAAAAGCCAAACAATTACAGGACTTAAAGGGCATATCAAGTACCATAAATGCAGTTTTTTTGCGGGGATCCGGGGCCTTGCAGCGCGGCGGCAATCGTGCTCAGCACAGCTTGGAGATCTACTGCCTGCTGAGATGAAGTGGAAAACGAACCGGGGGCTTAGCGTCGTAGGACTACTTGTGTGGTGGAGCTCCTCCTGCGTTTTTGAAGGTATTCGGGTTTGAGGTTTAGGATTGTATTCAGGTTGGGCAAAAACGGGGTGAGGTTTCAGGGTCAAAGGAATGCAGGAGGTGGAAGGAGAGATCAAGCGCTTGAAGCCAGGACTACGACAAGGGGAGGACTCCAAAACCTAATGAGTCTTTAGCTAGGAAACTGTTGCAGGACATTCGTATTCACCTAGAATCTGCACCTGGAACTTAAGTAGCTGAAAACAGGTTGAGGTCAGGCAACAAACGACACTCTGTACAGTTCTCAACACCAACGCCTGCTGCGGAGACTGGCGCAGCCGCACGGCATCTCGCCGGCGCAGAGCAGCCAAGAGCTGTCGCAGCCCGGACACCTGCTCAAATCGCGGTCTATGGTTTAGGGTTCAGAAACATGCAATGGCACAATAGCAGATTCATATAGGGAGGCGACAAAACAGAAGAGTACAACTGAAGTCATAGATCATGAAGTCCGTTTGCATCATATGTACATGTGCAGAAGTTCACATCTGAACATGCCACTCCATTCACAAGCATGCATGCTTGCATACATGCATGCATATGACCACAAACGCAGACAAACAACCATGCCTATGCTCCTGTCATAGATCCTAAACTAACCCTAAACCCAGAATATCGGAATATCGGGACATGTTCAACGTCAAGCAAGCCACACGGCTGCTGTAAATCCATTTCAGCACGGAGAGTGCCCCCTTTTTTTGCTTACGAAAGGCACAGGCTCCGAAACAAAAGAACCTCCAACCTGATTAACCCCTAAAGCCCCAAACCCCTAACCTCTAAACCCCTAACCCCTAAATTTTTTAAACCCCTAAACCCCTAGACCCTAAACCCCTAAAAAGCATCTCTGCCAGAAGCCGAACCCAAAGATGCTGCCGGGGTCGGGGAACTCTTTGGGGGGCCTGCGACCAGACCTCGGCCGTTGCATCTGCTGATGCCTGGTCATGGGAACAGCAAGGTCAGCAAGAGCCATGCAGTGAATGATTGAAATGCGTTGGGGGATGGCACTACCGATCATGGTAGGGATGTCAATATACTAAGAGTTCTTAACCGCCGTATCAGGACACGGATAAGAGTATCGATGCAACTGATTGCTCATCGTCTTGAACTCTCTCTCTCTCTATATATATATATATACACACTTATATATGTTTCTTATGATATGTATTTGTTTATGTATGAGCCGGCACCAAACTCCATGACGTTCAAAACAAGGGGCACAAGTCCTGAAGTACCGTCGTGAGACCTTGGCTTCAAACAACCCACGAACCTGGGAGAAATCTTATACCTTCAACCCCTAATCTCTATAGTAGATGCCATAAACTTGGAAAAGTATGATCCTCATGCCCTTACGGTAAAGTATAAGGGACCCCAGCACTAATCATCCTAAGCCCGGGTTCGCTGCGAAGCCTCAAAATACACATGAGCCTGCCTTCACTTCCGCTTCGAGATCTGGCCTGACAAGCAGGCTAATGTAGGGGCCTCAATCATTAGAATAGGGTTTTGGGGGAACCCTTAAGGCGTTCTTCAAGGGCTACTAAAAGGGTTTAGGGTTTAGGGGCCTTAATAATTAGAACAGGGCATTGGGGCCCATTATACTATGGGCTCCGGAATAGTATAGGTAATTATTAAGGCATATTTTTCAGGGATTTTTGCGGAGGGGCTGGAAAGACTTGCTGGCTGGAAGGCTTGGGCTGCATAAGAACATTGGTATTTCGACTCTAGTTTCAGTAGGGGCCTGAATACGATACGTGTGAGGAATCAGTTAATGGACCTTCAATTCTGCCGGCTCCTACGGGAATGCAGCGATTGACTTGCAGGCTGCACAGCATTGTGAAAGGGCTTGCGTTTTGGTTCACTTCGCAGTGTGGGATTCGAGAGTTGGGACATGATGTTCGTGCCCCTTGCGACATTGGGATCCTAGGCGGAGAGGTACATTTCAATGTACAATGATTTCTGTCTTCGGCTTGGGCCCCTGCATACCACCTGACGCCCACTGCCCACTCTCCTCAATTCCTAGGCCTAAACCAAACAAAAGGATTCGCATTTCCTTTTTTTCGGTGAGGAGGGCATCTCAAGTCCTCTTACCCGAATTACTGACCTACTCCAGCAGCGAGCTCACATGTGGAGTTCAGGCTCAATGCTCTGGAGCACAAGAGCTTACTTGCTTAGCGTCCCTTTGTGCATCACCTCAGGGAATAGGTTTTGGGGTTTAGGTGGATGGTTGAGAACCTGTTTCGCAAGGCTGAAAATTCGCAGGAAACTAGAACCAACAAACTAACCCCCAGGGTCCGGGTACCCAAATCGTATATACTTTGGCCTTGAAGTGGTCCCTATGTAGGTACTTTGGGGCCAAAGTATATACCAGTTGGGCACCTGGACTGTTAGGGTAAGGCCCACACAGCCCCTAGTTCAATTCGAAAGCCAAGTACCCTACCACTGACCTGGAGTAATGCAGGGGCCTTAATAATTAGTACAGGGTTTTGGGGCATATTATAGTATAAATACAATCAGGAACCCCCAAAGTAGTATAGGTAATCATTGAGGCCGCTATATTATACAGTCGCCCTCAATCGGCCAACTGGAGTCCATGTATTGAGATTTACGTGTGTAGGGTCTGGACGACAACCTGCAATTGCTACTATGCACTGCATGTCTTCATGGTACTTCAGGGACAGCGCAATGTAGGGCCCCTATATAGAAGTGGGGTTTGGGTCATCCTACGGTATAGTCAAATTAAGGAGCCTGAAGGCACGATGTTGTTAATTGGGGGCTTCCGAAAATGGGGGGACACTAATATAGCACCCTGAATGATAGGATCCTTATTATAAGGACCCCACAACAAAGTACCCCACATTTTCGGACACTCCCAAGTGTTCAGACCACTAGTTTGGACAGCCCGGGTCTCCGGCCAAAGCCCCAGCTCAGCCACGGTCGTCGTTAGTTCCTCCTGCAAAAAAGTGTGCGCGGTGATACCCGTACCATAGGGACTTAATCGTAAGCACGAGGTTTTGGGTATATCTTGCGGCATAGATAGTTACACAGGGACGATGGTTACAACGGGAAGGCATTGCTAGTACTCCGAGCTCCGCATAAGGGCTTCCAGTCCGTTGATGCCTAAGAGCTCGATGCTCTGCTTCGCACCTTCGGGGCTTTTCAGGGTTTCAGGCTAAGGCTGGTTTAGTCCCAAAAGGTCCTTTGTACTGTTATGGGGGGTACTTCCCTAAACCGTAATAGTCATTCCTAATATAGAAGCCCTCCATTCTACTATATAGGTACATAGGACCCTTTGGGAGTATAGATAGGGATTTCCGGCTTAGGGTCTAGAGTCTTAGGGATGAGGACAGATAGCTACTCACAACGAGGTGGAGCCTTTTCAGACACATAGGGCTCTGGACCATGGGGGATCCAGGATCCACATAGGAGCAAACCTTCCAACAGTTCAGATCTCTGGCAACGACCATGAAACCGGCCGCACACAACGATGAATCTGTAAACCCTGCATCCTCGACCTTCCAGCCCTGAGCTGAACCGATCTTGAAACCACTGCCCCACTGCCTCCAGCCTTCGCGAATCGCGCTGCAAGCTTCGAGCCTCGACGCACGTTCGGGGGTCGCGATCGTGGAAGGCAGCTATCCTATTAGGGCAGGGTTCTACATAGGGCTCGCAGCTCGCACCGAGGTTTTGATGCTCCCTGTTTCGTGCAGTCACCTTTCCTCTTGCAGATTCGAAGCAACATCGACCTCGCAAGCTCCACGAACACAACAACATCTCCCAAAAGTTTTCGGATTTCTGGTGCATTTTGGGTTTGGGCTATGTAGGAGACAACGACCGGTGTGCAAGGTTGTAGGATATTCGGTGGTTTTAGGGTTTCAGTAGCCAGACCTGAGGGTCCAAAACCTAGAGGGTCCATACTTTAGGGGGGCCTTATAATAATTGCCTATTCTATTTTGGGGGTTCCTCATTATATTTATAGTACAGTATACTATGATCCTGGGGGTCACTGCGAAGCTGATGTGTTGGCTCTGGAAGACCACAGACATCTTGGGGATTTAAAAAAAATTAGAGCAGAGTTTTGGGGTGCATATTTGATGAACCCCAAGGGAACTTGCAGTTATCCAGGCCCCTCTATTAGTGGCTTAATACTGTTGATGGACAAAATCCTGCATGACCTTATATACCTAAACTATGGGATTTATGGTACTATACTATATTTGGGTCATGCAGGATTTTGTCCATCAACAGTATTAAACCCTAGCCTTTTGCGATCATCTTGGTTGAGTCGACTCGAAATGCAGAGGACGGCTCTGTTCTGTGGCTTGAATCTGGTCCGTCAGCTGTGAGTACAACAAAGTACAACAGGATTTAGGGCTTATAAGAGTTTACGGTTTAGGGGCCCCAACCTAGGCCCAAGCTTCATGACTAATGCCGCCAAAGCGCTTGCTCAATCCACTCATGCCGCTGCTGATGAAGCTTTGTTTGCTGCTTGTGGCTCTCAGCAGCCTGCATCAAACCAGCAAGTTCAAGTGTTCAGGGCACTTGGGCTTCTCAGTATTTCGATTCTCAGCATTCAGGAAATCTGTTCATACGGATCCCGGCGGTCAAGGTGAACGCTTTCAGCACATGCAATTGCTGAGCTTGAAACCGTCGCATCGCGGGTTGTGGCTCTCGGATGGGATCCAAAGACTGCCAAATAGGTGTGATCTTTGATATGATTCTCTACCAGAAAGTGTTCAGAAAGTGTCTTCGAGAATCCTCATTTTGGGGGCTGGTTTTGTATCCAACTTGTCTTCAGGAGGCAGGGCCTGATCTAATCCGTCCGCGCCCTAGACCCTATCAATCCCCTAATCCCCTAAACCTGCAATAGCCTCGCTTTGCCTGTCGCTCCAGGAGTAGATAGAAACTGTACATGGGGCTCAGAATGTAGGTTTCGCATTAACAATACCCATAAGGAGCCTACCATCCGCCAACGAATCTCCTGTCACGGTTCCGGAGAACAGCAGCTTTGTAAAAGTTGCCCCAGAATCCAATCGTCTCTGCAGTGCAGGCGTGTCTCACAAGAAACCTGGAGCCCCAAACCCAAAACTGGCCGAAGAAACTTACCAAAACCTTCTTCAGGACTCAAAAGCTGCCTGGACAAAGTTACCAAAGCCCTCTTCAAGACCCACAGCTCCTAAACCCTAAACCCTAAACCCTAAACCCTAAACCCTAAACCCTAAACCCTAGCTGGCCGACGCCTGGCCTGCTGGACTTTGCCCAGCTTCTGAAGAATCTCAGAGTCCCGGGCCCGTGCACTCGCCAGGGAGACCTCCGTCTCGGCTTTCTCTCCCAAAGGGTCCATGTACCCAAATAGTAGAACATTGGGTTTAGGGTTTAGGGTTTAGGGTTTAGGGTTTAGGGTTATTGGCCCTATCCAGATCCTACAATACTCAAGTTTACATGGAATACTGCAATCCCAAGGGTCCATGTACCTAAATAGTGTATACATTGGCCTTAATGTAGTCCCTATATAGGTACGTTAGGGCCAATGTATATACTATTTAGGTACATGGACCCTCTGGGTCTGGGATAAGATATTGGCCTGTCCTTGTAGGGGTCCATGTTTCCGAATAGTATTAAAGTACGTTGGTCCTAAAATATTATGTTATGGGCCCTATGTAGGGGTATGTAGAAACTTTAAAGCCAAAGCATATACTAGTTGCGTCCATGGTAGGAAAGGGGCCGGAGCAATTAGAAATATCATGTGCTTGGTGGTATTAGCATATCATACTTTCCCTCCCTCGCCCTCCTCTCTCTCGCTGTCTCTTTCTCCGTGTCTCTCTCTTTCTCTCTCTGTCTCTCTTTTCTCTCTCACATACTGGTAGCAGACCTATAGTCTCCATTGTTGTTCCTTTTCGGGGATGCCTTATAAAATCCTTCATGTATAGTTGGTTAAACCAGAAAAAGGAACTACAATGGAGACCATAGGGAGGATCAGGAAGTCGGGCGTTTGGAACCCAAGGTTTGGTGCATTCCGCTCGGCCTGCAGATTCCTACATGGGAGTTTCCGAAACTGTGGGGTACCTTATTTTGGGGTCCTTATAATAAGGATCCTATTATTATTTAGGGTACTATATTAGGGTCCCCTTTTTCGGAAACTCCTACATCGCAGACGCATGTTGCAGCATCAAAAACCATCAGTCAAGCCCCGGTCCATGTACATATACAACAAAATCCCCAAGCCCTACCCTAAACCCTAAACCCTAAACCCTTAAACCCTAAACCCTAAACCCTAAACCCCTAAACCCCTATACCTCAATGGGCTTGGTTATCTAAACTTTTGAAAGTGGACCTTCGGCATGTCGAACCGGCTGCACGACCCATGGCGCTGCAGAACTGGGGTCTGCAAAGGTCTGGGGTGGAACGGCGTGCCTGAGGGGGAAACAGGCTCGGTTTGGGGTTTCGCATGACTACAGGACTGCGGACTTGCTTATTAGGGTTCTTACAGTATTCTGGCTGCATTTGCGCTGAACTAGGTGTTTTGAGCAGCGACTTTCGAGGCTTCGGGTTGAGGCACTCGAAGTTTACGGCTGTTGGGTGTGGGCTTTCCAATGGAGAGTTTGAAAGGATTGGGTCATGTGGCGGCTGGGGCTGAATTTAACGCAGCCTGTGACAGAAAGCTTTACTAAGTTTGCAGACGCTGCAGGAAACCTTGCTCGGTTACTCGGAAGAAAGCTGCAAGCAAGTCAAACAATTCACAGCGATGTGGAGATGTGTCCTGTCGTGTCGGTCAGGCAGGCATAGTCGATTAGTCCAGGGCACTTCCCGCACTGTATCTTGGATATGCGGCCTGTGCAGCCCCCGATGATGACGGTTATGTCCCCAAGCCTCCATGTAGGTACTCAACACGCACTATAGGGCCAGGGTCTATGCGTGCCACCTTCTTCCGGCTGTCTGGAGTCTATTTACTTTGTAGGGCTTAGAACCCTCTCGGTGATGATGGGAACGCAGTGCCGTGATGAGCTAAAGCAGCTTCTATCGACTATCACGAAACCAGCACCCCTGTCTGACGAGCGGGTCCTACACCAGGACACACTGTAAGCTGTAAACCTAAGCCGCCCAACGCTGTTTGGGAACAGTAGGGCCACAGAGATCCTAGACCACTTCGCCCCTGAGATATTCTCCTCAATGCCGCTCTCGTCAAAGCCTGGCTAACTAAACAGCCTGCATTCGCTGATCAGATCTGTTTTTTATCATGTAGCCGTGCCACACTCGTCTGTCAAGCGAGATATCATCAGCCAGCTTGTGCTCCCCAGATTGGTGGCAGGGCGATGGAAAAAGCCCCTTCCAACCATCAGGATGTGCATGTGTCTGCGGAGTTCTGTCCTCTGCTTCCTCTACACAGGATAATGCTGCATACTAAGTGGAACCATGGGTACGCCTGTCGCAACCAGCAGGAGCAGACACTGGTCGTAGTGCTACAATTAGGGGTTGATCGCCCTCGTTTCCCCCGCTTTCTCTTTCGCTCAGGTCTGCATCGTGCCATGTGCATGCTGCCAACCCATCTCATTGCCACTGCATCCATGCCCAAGCCATGATAACGCCCATGCTACCAACCCGTCCATTCGCCAGTGCATCCATGCCCAAACCTTTCATCAACAGTTGTTTCCGCGCAGAAACGTTGTTTTTGTTGTTTTGCATTTTTGGCTGCACGTATCATCATAACGGTAATGCCATGTTGAGCAATGCTAACATGCGAAAGTATCCGCCCTGCCATGCTTTTCCAACATTGTTCGAAGCCGACGTGAGAGAACACATTGTGCAGAACCTGGCCTTAAGTCTCCGTCCCGTCCTACCGGCCGCGCTACAAGACCGTGGCTTTTGCATTTTTGCTCCGCAGATCATCATAACGGGGACGCCCTGTTCAACAAGGCTAACATGCGAAAGTATGAGCCCTGCCATGATTTTCGCACTTTGTTCGAAGACGATCCACCCTGCAAGTAGGAGCACTGTGTAGCAGCCGCGGTAGCAGTAGCAGTAGCTGCGTAGCAGAAGGAGGAGTAAGTAGTAGCCGCAATCGTGTACCCAAGCGGTGGTGGTGGTGGTGGTGGTGGTGGTGGTGGTGGTGGTGGGTTAGTCTTCGTCGTACTCGTAGTAGTCACTCGTCGTTGTAGTCGTCGTCGTCGTCGCGGTCGTCGTAGTCGTCGTAGTGGTAGTAGTGGTAGTAGTAGTCGTCGTCGTAGTAGTAGTAGTAGTAGTTGTTGTTGTAAATCTTCTTCTTATCGTTACTATTCGTCGTAGTCGTCGTAGTAGTCGTCGTCGTCGTAGTAGTAGTAGTAGTAGTAGTAGGAGTAAAGCAACAGTGGCACAGCAGTAGCGGTTAGCAGATGTCGTCCTTGGCCTCGCCGCAGCGATAATTTGGCCGAGAGTATAGGTAAGAAGCACGAACATGATCAATGGCTTCTCACATCGAGCTCCACATCGTGCTATAAACTCATGCTGAGTGGTTCCGCACAAGCTGGCATTCAATTGATCAGTGAAACAGGCGCAATGTGGCAGGGCCAGTGCGCACCTAGGGAGACGATATCAGTGTCAAGCACGATGCTCTCAACACAACCCGTTTGGCATGTGCATTCGGTATCTGATCTGCGAAGTGTGTGGGAGAGACACCGAAGGCTCTAGTGGTGACTTGCTCGTACATCCCAGCGTGTTAAGTCATCAAAGTCCAGAGATTTGACGAGCAAGTCCATGGCAATCGAAGCTGTCTCCAGGAACAGAATAAAACTCAGTAAACACAGGCGTATGAAGCTCGGGACCTATGTTTGATGCAATCGCTTTTACATTGCTGCGCCTTCTTGGTACCGAAGGCTTCTGGAATCAACAGAATATAGGACAAATGCTTAGCTTGCGCAATGCTCGCTGATCTGGCAGGCACCCCTCTAGCTGAGCCGACGGATATTGCTTGCAGATGATGTCACTTGAAGCTACTCCTCTGTCCAAGCCGATGCTCTCACAAATGCCAGCCTCCAACGGGTACAAACACTTCATTCAGCATGGCAACCACAAGCACTACGTGCCGCTCGCCTGTGCAAGAAAGCAGCACTTGAACTCACCTCCCCAGCCCGTGTGCAAGATAACACAGATGCAGAGGCGTGTCAAGAAGCGGTCCAACACAACACTTCGGAAGTCAGCCCACACCAGCACTGGCATCCACTAGAAGGTTTCGTGGTGACCCAGCCTACGGCCATGCGCGGTAAAGGATGCACATTTGAGAATGAACGGAAGATAGGAAACCGATGCTAAAACCCGAAACCCCGAAATCCCAACCTTAAACCCGAAACCCTCAATCCTCAAACCCAAACGACCTAATTAAACTCTCAAGCCTCCCCATGCCAAAAAAAAAAACAAGAGCCCTGGGGCCTCAGCCGGTCCCAACCTATCGGCTGGGCGCGAACCGGTCTAGCCTTCCGGAAGCTATGGACTTTGGTGTTTAAGGCTTTGGGGTTTTGGGCTTAGGAGTTTAAGAGTTTGGGGCTTTAGGGCTTCAGTGTTTCGGGCTTTAGGGCTTTTGGGTTTTGGGCTTTAGGGCTTTTGGGTTTTGGGCTTTAGGGTTTAGGGTGGTGTTTAGGGGCTTCAGAGTTTAAGGTTTTAGGGCTTCGGGGCACTAGGGTCACAGCCTGTTCCACTGATTTTTAGGTCACCAGATTTCGGGTCACTTAGGGCTCATAATGGTTTTGGGTTTAGGGTTTAGCCTAAACCGCCTAAACCCTAATCCGTTCAGGGTTTATAAGCCAGTCTTGGGTCAAGGATTCGGAGTTCAAGCCCAGGCTTCCGGGGAGTAATGTAGGGGCCTCAATGATTAGAATAGGGTTTTGGGGCCCACTAAAACTACAATAAGGAACCCCTTACAGGAAACTGTTTAGGCCCCCATATTAGGGTGGAAGTCAGCAGCCTTGATTCCACACTTCGTAGAACCCAGCTGTCAAAGATCTAAAGAAGCCGGGGCCCGCGTAGGTTCTCAAGGCATCACAAGGAGCCTTTACCTGTAAGTAAGGCAGATACTACCTCAACAATGTTTCTCTAGGGCTCAGCGTTTAAAGTCTCAGAGTTTATTTAGGGTTCAAGGGGAACTGCTAGGGTCAATGAGGTAACTGGCAAACTGCCTGACACGATATGTGAATATCGCCGATATCTACATGCAACCAGATAAGACTCAGCAGCGTGGACACATAGCTTCTTTATGGGAAGGCAGCTGAAGGACACTACCTTGGCAGAAGCTCGACTGGGTTTCACCGACCGCTCCGAGCATCCTCTCGCGACAGCAACAACACAAAACGTCCCTGCGCAACCCTAAACCCTAAACCCTAAACCCTAAACCCTAAGATCATCAACACACACCTTTAAGTTCGCAGTTGGTCTCAAACCTACACCCCGACTCCTAAACTCAAACTCGAGATCCCTAGCCTTGGAGACAGAGGATGATTTGCTTGAAGGTTCGTGAGTTTGGTTTTTTACATACAAGCTTAAAAGATATTGATATAGATATTCATACACATGCGTGTATAATATGTATAATAATGGCTACATGTACACAATTGCTTGTATACATTTTCGTATGATTATATATGTACATACAAACTATTTACACATAGACATAACCTATACATTAGATATATGGATAAACTTTTACTTATTTCTGTCTTTATACATCTATACACATATATATATATATATATATGCATATGTATAATGTATACATACATAAACATACATACATTCATACATTCATTCATACATACATACATACATACGACATACATACATACATACATACATACATACATACATACGACATACATACATACATACATACATACATACATACATACATACATACATGCGACCATTCGTATGAAAGAAAACAGCAAGGGCATCACGGAACCGACAATCTCACGTGTAGTTGGGAACGCCCAGCACATGACATGAAGCACGTCCCACGCCCGGCATGTCCAAGAACCTACACCCTAAACCCTAAACCCTAAACCCCTGGTTAACGTCTAGGCTTGGGGCTTCTTTTTCAAGTTTAGACTTTCCAATTTGATCTTCAGAATTACGGGTCTGAGCTTCAGCCCGAAGGGCAGAGGTTGTGAAGCTTTACTAAGGGCTCATGGTCTGGGTTTCGCCTACATCGGGAGTTAAGTCCGAGGGCGCACAAGCCTTTACGATGCTTACGGTATTGTGCTTCCGAGATTTGAAACTTTACTTACATACCTAAAGTCTCCATGGTCGTGCCTTTATCCTCTTTGGGTTACCTTATAGGATCCTAACCTAACTATACGACTAGTCTAACCGACAAAAGGAACTACAATGGAGACTAGAAGTACTTAAGGAGTTTCACCTAGGAGAGCAGCAACTCGGATTAAGAGCTTTGCAGGCTGCCTCTCAAACCCCGAAACCCCGCACTCTCATGTTTAGTAGGCTCTGTAAAACCTAGGGTGTGCGATGACATGCCCAAAACATCCTCAGTACCCATAGAGTATAGTAGCAAGATTTAGGACCCTTTCGGAGGACTTCTATGTTACAGACCCCGGCTTGCCTTGCGCTCCTTCAGCTGTCTCGCCCTCGGGGGCAGGCGGCGCCGCGGAACCCTGTTGCCCTTCCTGACCGGGCTAACATAGGGCCAGGATAGTTAAAATAGGGTCTTTGGGGTAAAGTATAAATTCCCTAAACCCTAAACCCTAAACCCTAGTATAATGTAATAAGAAACACTTAGGAAGAATGTTGCTGGTTGGTAAGACTTCTGCACCTTGGGGGTGGTTGGGTTTAGGTTGCTATGAAACCCGGTCTAAGGCGACTGACTCAAGCCCACGGAATAGTTCAGCTTCCCAATTCCTTTAATGTGAACTAGGTAATGTAGGGGCCTTAAAAAAGAGAATAGGGTTTCAGGGGATCCTTGCTATATGTATAGTATAATATACCCCCTAAACCCTATTCTACTTAAGACCCCTATATCAATTTCACCCGGCCCCGAAGATGTCAAGTGGATCACTACATCCACAGATCCGAACTCAGCAGGTCGTGGCTACACGGCGCTGTCCGATAAATGAGAGATCCCCACCCGAAGCCTAAAACCAAACTGTAAGGCCCTTAGACCATAAGTCACTTTAAGGCACCGTGTGTTTAAAGATGAACACTGATTCCAAAGCAACCATATAAACCCCCCACACCTTCATCTATTCACCTGCTTCCACGCCCAGTCCTTCGTGAAAATGCGCGGGAGCGCGCCCTTTTTCCTGGAGACAGTCTTCCTCGGCAAGGCTTTTCTACATAGGGTTGCCTTAAGCCAAATAACACACCTTTTACAGGACTTTTGTAACGAAATCATAATCAGGAACCTAAAAATGTAGGTTCTTTGGGTCCAGGTAGTAGCCAAAGTGCAAAGAGAGAAATGGAGATTTGAAGACTCCGGGTTTCCAGCTTGTTGCCCTGACTCCAGTCGAGCACATAAACTCGCTAAACCCCTGAATCCCCTGTCACGCAGCCTAACAGCTCTCAAACACCTAACACAGGCCGTATCCAAGACGCCGGATGCTTGCAAGCCCCAGACTGAGTAACTTCATGTCATGATGCCATGCTTTGTTGAAGAAGTCACCCTCCAAAGTCCGACTTGGGACCACAGTGTAAAATCGTGTAAAATCGAAAGAAACGGGAAGCTCCTCCTTCTTTTGTCGTTTCATCACCTGCTTCGTACAGTCCACCCGTTACTTCGACCACAACACACCCAACATCTCCCTCCTTAAACTCCAAAGCGCTAATCTGTACCGACCAAAGCCTAAACCACGTCTTGATCCAAGAACAAAGAACGCTGAAGAAGCTCTCCTGATTATCCTACTAGTGCAATGGCCCTAGCAGAGCTAAGCTAACCCGAATCTTCTCGGAATATACTCCTAAACATACCCGTAATCTATGGCCCTGACAGACCCTCAGCTGAACCGAATCCACGCAAATATGCTCCTAAACATAACCGAAATATCGAAATATCTCATTTATACTCCTGAAGTCCAAAACATAGTGGCAATGTACCGAAAAGCAGACTCCTAAAGTCCTACACATAACCGTAATATCTCCGAAAAACCCTCCTGAAGTTTAGAACATCGCCAGAACTAGCCCAAAACAATCCTTCCGAGACTCGCGGCATCCCCTAAGCCCCAAGCCCACGGTTAATGTTTAGGGTTTAGGGGTTAGGGTTTAGGGTTTAGGGTTTAAAGCCCTTCCTTCCGAGAGTCGGGGCATCCTGACGGATCTTCCTCCAGGTCTCGCTGTGCCCGTCCGAGCCCTGGAGCTGCCTCAGCTTTGGAGCTTGTTTTGGGTTTGTTTGTAGTGTCTTTTAAGGGTGTTTACTGTAGGGTGTTTCAGTGTGTGTGTGTGTTAGGGTGTTTTAGGCTGGTTTGGAGTGTTTGGGGGTGTTTTAGGGTTTAGGGTTTAAGGTGCTTAGGGTTTAGGATTGATTAAGATTTCCGGTTTACGGTTTAAGGTGAAATGTTGAGGGTTTTAGAGTTGGGGTTTCGGGCCTGAGGTGTGATGACCTTGACCTACACCAAGTCCGCCTGTACAGGCACACACCTGGGATAAATCAATATGGGAAGTACTTTAGGTCTCTAGTGCTGTCCCCCCCCTCCACTTCAAGTCTTTCAGCCGGGCAGCAGCGTTGGGCCAGATTCTGCCTCGACCAGTTTGACCTGCTCGGGTTTCAAACAAAGCGTCCAGGCTTTCGCGTCTGGAATTTCGGTTTTACATTACAGATGCGGGATTTGGGGTTTAGTTAGGGTGTTAGTTTGTCGTCGGTGTTGGTTAGGAGTTTAGGGTCCTCGTACAAGGGATTATGCCTGTTTGTTGGTGGGGGCGGTGGCTGGACGGGGTTTAGGATACTATATAAACCCTAAACCCTAAACCGAAGCAGGTTTTAGACTTCGGAACAGGGTGTGGGTCGGCAGGGTTTGAAGGGTTGAGGACTCGAAGGGTGAAAGGTCAAGGGGTCAAGGGTGGATCGGAGATAGGGGAATTAAGAGTGAGAGTTATTAACCCCTAAAGCCTAAAGCCTAAACCCTAAACCTCTGAACTCTACACCCTAAACTCTAAAACCTTTATATGGTGTAACAAGGAACCTCAAAGGAAGGGTCATAATAAACTGCTCAGACTCCTATATGCTGGTCACATATATGTCTCGGGCCTAGTGCGCAAAGGCATATTGAAGCGGCTTACGGTCTGGGGTCCAGCAGATTGGTGCTCAGTGTAGTTGCGCAAACGTCGCAAAGCAACCACGAAACCCGAAAAAACAACCCTTTCAACCCTATAAACCCTAAACCCTATAAACCCTAAGCCCTAAACCCCTAGAGATGCACTGGGCTCTTCAAATATGAAATATTCAAACCGAGGGCCCCCAAGACCCAGGCATCTCAGACCCGGAGGAATCAGATTTTGTGTAGGTGACGTGGCTTTGGGATTCGGGCTTAGTGTCAGGGTTGATGTGTCTAAGCTGTGGGCCTCCGAGGCAAGTCTACGTCGAGTAGTGCCCATCTTTGGGCGACATATGTTGTGGCTTGGGTCCTACAATGAATAAACCAGATATTTAGACTAATGAGCGCCCATCATCATAATTAGCACTTATTTAGGCTCGTAGATTGCGCCAGAGAAAAAGTGTTGTTTCGAAATGCCGATAGAGGCTCTGAGGGCAAGGTTGGAGGCTTCGGGCATTCGGGAGCCCTCTCAACAAGCCTTGCGCGCGACTGGGCTCTGCTAGGGTCTATAGATATAGGAGCCAGGCTTGGCTCCCTGATTCGCGCCAATTGCACACAAACCCTAAACCCTAAGCCCTTAAGAAATCACGAGGTTTGCGGAAATTGGAAAGCTCGTGCCTGGCATAGCTCCTCACCGTCGCTGGAGAGCAGGAGGAATCTGGGCTGTGGTGGATGTCCGGGGATCAGGTCTAATCTAAACGTTCTTGATATTCCTAACTTATATTTCTTTGTATTTTTGAAAATTTGTTTGCTTATCGATACTATATCTAGTTCGTTCAAGTGATTGAATATTAGCAACCTTGAGAGGGTTTAGGGCAAAGTTTAGGGCCATCATGGGGCCAACAGCTGTCAGGAGACAACGAATGCGAGCTGCGCATTGCACCGGCTATACCTGCCATGCCGGCTAGACTGCATTTGCAAATTACCTTGCACCGAAAGTATTTATACATTTCCTGTGCGGAGTATGATGCAGACCGGGGGTGGTGCCTTCAACCACGTGGTTGAGCGGCATTTCGTGACGCCGGGCATGGTTAGCAACATGAGCACGCATGGTTTTTGTGGCACGGATCGTTGGCAACGCGTAATGTAGGGGCCTTAATAATTAGAATAGGGTTTGGGCTCTGCTTTATAGTTGGGTATAGTTGTAATAAGGAGCCCTCAGGAATAATATGGGTAACTATTTAGGCCCTATATTATGCCGAGGCACTCCAGTGTCCCGGGATTGGGTTCAGCAATTCGCATCTCCGCCTGTCGCAGGAGTCCAAGCACTTCGTGTGCAACCCGACCCCGACCCCAGCGAAGGGTTTAGGGTTTAGGGAATCACCGTGTTCTAGTGAGGTGGCTTCGCTGTTACCAGCCTCATATGATGCAGGGCCATTACAACACGAGCTTGTGCTATGATCTGCTATTGCACCGCCAGTGTCAATCATTACTATGGTTCTGCACCATTCTCCCTCAGAATCACAGGTAGTTTGCACACCGCAATGATTTTGGCCAGAAAGTATAATATTGTATTACATATTATATTATACATTATATATTATAGATTATCTAATTATATATTATATATTATATTTTCAATATTATATTCAGATCTCAACTCCCCCCCATGCAGTTCGAAGCACCTCGGGATCTTCCATGAACTTGACCTCCCCATTTTCCGAGATCAGAGCGATGGTCGTGTCCCCGTTCTCATCTTCCAGAAGCCATCTGCCCTCGAGCGTGGAGACCATCAGGGAGAAAACCGGGAAGTTCCCATGCTACGCCCTGAGAAGATCGAGCCGAGACCTTGCGAAAGCTGCAGGGTTTAGGGCTTAGGGTTTAGGTTTAGGAGTTTCGGAGTTAGGGGTTTTTGCAGTTCAGGATTTAGGGTTTGTAGGGTTTGGGGCTTAGTGCTTGTAGGCTTTGGGGTTTTATAGTTCGCAGTTTGCGGCCTATAAGGTTGATGGTTATGCCTTGGGGTCTACTCGGTTTAAGACTTAGAGTAAGATTTGCAGTTGGGGTATATAAGGTTTCAGGATTAGGGCTTGAAGCTTGTAGGGTCTAGATTTAGGCATCTAAAGGGGTTTAGGATTTAAGTAGCGTTTAGGTAGTCTAGAAAATGCGCAGCATAACCGACCCGACCGACGAGAACATGAGCGCTTTCTGGCAAAATAAAGTGTCAGAGAGGTCGACATGTAGGCGCTGGTGCCGGCATAGTGTTGATCAGGGTCGCCTCGCATCTTTGGGCCCAAATGCCGGTGTAGCAAACTGCTATCGAGGTAGATACGCGAAATGCCGAACACACAGGGTCAACTTCATAACTTCGGAACTCCTCGCAAAGTTGGCAACTCTGACTGCATGGGCTTTAAGTCTCCGGAACTCACAACTCACATAGTTTAAAGCCTGACCGCAGTGAAGGATCTTGGGATTTGGGTTCTTGCATCTCTATTGTGCCCACGGTAGTCGAGGGTATACCCATCTATACCATACAAAAGCTAGGAGCCCCAGTAGCCTCTTAACGACAAACGCCAAAGATATCTTCGTTCCCACTGTCTTGGTTTCAATCAAAAGCACCCGTAATAAAAAGTGCAGAAGGGTACTACGGGGAGGCCGAGGAAGCAGAACTGCTTCTGATAGCCGCAACCTGCTGCATGCGTTATTTTCACTGATGCCGCCGCGAAGATGCGACTTGTCCGCTCTCCCTGCAGATCCTTGGTTGGGGATGTCGGGTTATTGGGTTCAGGGCTTAGGGCTTCTAGGGTTTATAGTGTTTATAAGGTACTTGTGGGAAGTTTCACGGTTTCTGAATTTAACTAACAACATTCTAAAAAAAAACAAATTTCGGGTGGAGACTATGAGATATAGACTCTAACCCACTTACACCGCATCTCCTAGCAGGTGTGTCGCGTGAGTATTGGGCGAATGGAAAGCTGCACATGACGCAGTCATGTCTTCGGAGGGCGTTGTGTCTGTAGCTCCTCGCATCAGAACAAAACACAGCAAAGACTACCCAGCAGCATCTTAAGGTTCGAAACACCAAAACCCCAGACCTAAACTCTTCTGAATCAAAGGTCTGATTCCATGCCGCATGTTCGGGCGAAGTTCGGGCTCTTGATCGGGCCCTTTTGTATTACTTCAAGCTGCTCAGATTCTCAAACCTGAAGTTTCGGGGACTCGGGGCCATTCTGCTACCTGGGGCTTCTTCGAATTATGGGTCGGGTATGGTCCGGCTTGTGGTGCCGAAGTAGTCGGAGTGCGGCGCAACAGGGCCCAGGAAGACCATGCTTCGAAACAAGCCATGCGCATGGCAGGCCACCAAAGAATTCGGATGCCTTTTTTCTCACCACCTCCACCGTGACAGAGGCGCAATCGCTCAGTCTTTGCTGGCTTGTGCTGCGGGAACTTCAGCCGTCCACTGCTAGAGTCTTCAGCTTGGGATCTTTACAATGGATCAATGGATCTGTACAGAGGACCTTCCACAACATCCGTGTCACAGGTACAGTACAGTCGGAGATGCGGACGCCTACCAGTCGAACATTGTTCAGAGCTGTCTGGCACAGCCTTGCAGACTGCGTCTGCCCACAAAAGAGGGTTTCATGCTGGACAAACTGAATAGAACACAGCTTAGCCGACATAAGGTATAAGTTCAACCAACAGGGGTCTCTCCGACCATGAACCCCGACAACTGCTATCGCTAAGGTGAGCTTCAATCTTTCATTAGCTCTCCAATATTGTGTGCCACCAAATCATGGCGATGTCCAGTAGGTTAACGGCAAGCGGTGGAAATTGAACTTTGCACACAAGGCCGTCGCTATCTCAATAAGCTCGGCATGCTCATAGATGAAAGTCTGTACCTTCTTCTTGAAAGGTATGTATTTCAGGATTTCAACTATAGGACCCCCATTGGGATTTGCAAACGCCACAGCTTTTCCATCCTGAATCCATTTCACATAGTATGTCTTGGTGGCAAAGCCCTTGACTCCCCATTTTTGCGGGGCAAAGTAAAAGAGCGGTCGGTTTCGGGTCACGAATAAGTAGAAGCCTCCCGCACCGGCAACTTTGTATTGTGGCAAATGCTCATTCAGAACAACTCCATTCTGTGCTTTGGCCCAGTTATACCAGGGCTGAATGGTGTAGTCCTCGTTGTGTTGCTGGAAGTCGTTCCGGGCCCGGGCAGTGCAAAATGACACCTGCCGAATCATGGACATGTGAAAAGGATCTGAAGAGTCGAGGACCTGGATATCCTTGAACTCATTCACTAACTTGTTGTAAACGGCCGTCATGGTGGGATTCACAAGGTTGCCACTCGCGTCGTAAGGGTTAAACCGCAGCTGATACTCTTGCGTCTCAGTGAACTGACCATTCGTGGGTACGACCCGGATCTGATTGAACTTCACCTTCCAGCGAACTCGCTCCACCAGTTCGGCCAAGGAGGCTCCGGTGATGAGCCGCGGGAAGTTGGGAAAGTAGCTCGCCACTTCAGGCTTCACCTGAGAGCCTGGTGCTACAGTGGCACATGTTGTGCCTGGATGGACAAACTCCATGTGTCCCGAGTCGATGTTGGGCAGCATGAAGGAAGACTGCCCGTTACCACCGCCGGTGAGCCAGCCATCATCATTACTTTTGCAAAGGTATTGATTTCCTCGGTCTTGGATCCGATTGAAGTCAAACTTGGTCTGGTGAGTCACACTGTTCAAGTTCGATGTAAGCACCTCCGGATGTTGCCGTGACATGCTCATTCCAAAGAAGACGAGGCCCCAGGGTGCTCCGGGGATGACATGGTGCTTCGAGCAAGGCTGGAAATCCGCATTGCAGGTACTGCTCTGGTTTGGGTTCCTAGGTTCCCCAGTAGCCCCTTAATAATAAGCCCTAAGGGTCCATGTACCCAAATAGTAGAACATTGGCCTTAATGTAGTCCCTATATGGGTACTTTAGGGCCAATGCTCTACCATTTGGGTACATGGACCCTTAGGGAAGGATACCCTTCTTCCTACTATTTAGTTTGAATCAGGGAACAAAAAGAAAAAGTGCAAAAGGGTACTAGTGGGGAACCTAGGTTCCAGTTGGAACACAAGCAGGCACTCGGATCCTCCACAGGATACGCGTACTCCGCGTTATTGTCTCCATCTGCTGGGTTACACGCACATGGTCCTTGTGCATCAGCACTAGACTCACGGATCTGCATCAAAGCCACATCCTCTTTGCTGCATGTCTCTGGAGGAGGTCCAACACCGGTTGCAGCTTGGATCAGAAGGAGAAGAAATGCAATCCTTCGCAGGCAGCGATCCATCTACAGTTGATTTCGGGGCTCCAAGAGAATGTAGCCGGGTCATGTACAGGTATATGCTTGTCTTTTAATCTGTTTTGATGCAATCAACCGACTCGTGTCATGTCCATTGGCCAAACCGCACTCGACGTCTTCGGCGGCAATCTAACAACAGCTACATGGCTGTCAGTTCGGAGACAAGTTAAGACCCACAAGTATAAGGCCGTGGTCTAACCATATGAGAGCAAAACCCTAAACCCCAAGAACCAAGTCTAGTCGCAATTATGCGAAACTTCGAACTTGTTTTTGTGGGGTGTGGGAGGGGGGGGGGGTGAACCACCAGGGTTATCATGCGCTACAAGCACCCGTAGGGTTTATTGCTTGCTTCCGTCCTCGAAACGGTCCCGGAGGAACTTGGTCGTGCCATGGCGCCACGGGGCTCCAGTCACGTGTCAGAACCCGAGGAAAAGTCAAGGGCCAATGCCGCAGTGTTCACCTATAGCATACCTTGCTGAGTGTACGGTCTCACCATTTTGAACTACTATCTGTCCAGTGTTGAGGGCCTAGGGTTGAGGGTTAGGCTTTCGCCACTTGTCTTGTATGCGTGCAGCTTTACAATCCTTACGAAAACTTCATCTACACACGACTGCCTGTTAGGCCGGCTCGACATGCGCAGCAGAGGCTTCAACGGGGTCTCATAACCAACGGCCGTCTCTTGCCATGCAGCTTCCGCCCCAGTGGAAAGCAAGACAACGAATTCTCCCCCAATTTCCGATTTCGAGGCTTCCCATCTAGACTCATGTTTCAGCGTTTTCGGGTCTTGCCAAGCATCCCAGATCAGGTAGGCCGCCGGGGGAATTGCTCTCCACGTCAGGTCGGAGGATGCTCCTGATTCTGGGAGAAGAACTCGGGGCATGAAGGTCTGCTAAACGGAAGGGGATTTGGTCAGGCTATCATCCAAAGATTCTAGAGCAATTCTCTTGGGGTTGTGGCCGCAGTTAGACCGCCAAGGAATGCCTTAACCTGCGAAGCACATCAAAGCTGACAAAAACACAGTGATGTGCGTGGAAAAGCACAGCCCTATGATCTCGAAAACCCTGAACTCTAAACCCAGACCCCTTAGCCCTGCCCCGTTAACCGCCAGCAGGTGCGCGGATGGTATGCGCCTAATTAAATCTGCTTCCGGTCTATCTGGCGCACCCTCAACCCTAAACCCTAAACAACTTTTTCATTTCAGCTGTTGCAAGCGATGAGGTCGCACCGATCAAGGCCCAGCCTGATCTCCATCTGCGAAGGATGAAAGCCTTGAACCATAAACTCCGCCTACCCAGCTTTATGTGTATGTATCAATATACAGACAGACAGAGAGAGAGAGAGAGAAAGAAAAAAACAAAAAAAAAACAGATCTCACAGAGCAATTATTGAACTTCTTTGATCGTTTATTTCTTTACTCAAATTTAGCCTTTACACAATGTGATCAAAGTG